TCATCATCATCATCATCATCATCATCATCATCATCATCATCATCATCATCGTCATCATCATCGTTATCATCGTCATCATCATCATGATGCGAATCAACAACATCCTGAATATCATCAGCATCATTATCGTCATCCTCATCATCAACATATTCATTCTCATCATCATGATCGTCATCATTATGATCATCATCTTCATCATCATCATCATCAATTTCATCCGACTAATCATCCGAATTATCCTCATCATCCGAATGGTCATCATAATCCGAATAATCATCATCATGATCATCAGAGCATCATCATCATCATCATCATCATCATCATCGACGTCATCATCGTTATCATCGTCATCATGATCATCATGCGAATCATCGTCATCCTCATCATCATCATCATCATCATCATCATCATCCTCAGCATCAACATAATCATCCTCATCTTCATAATCGTCATTATCATGATCATCACCTCCGTCATCATCATCATTATTTTCATCCGAATAATGAACCGAATGATACTCATCATCCTAAAGGTCCTCATCATGCGAATCATCATCATCATCACCATAATATTCATCATCATCATCATCATCATCATCATCTTCACAAACTACATCCGAAACATCATCCGAATGAACATCATCATCCGAATGAACATCATCATCCGAATCATCATCATCATCATAATCATACGAATCCGCATCATCCGGATCATCATCATCATCAGCATCATCGTCATCATCACCATTATCCGATTCATCACCATCAACCGCATCATCATCATCATCATCCGAATCATCCTTATCCGAAACATCATCATCATCATCATCATCAACATCAAAATCATTATCATGATCATCACCATGTTCATCATCATGACCATCATCATCATCATCATCATCATCATCATCATCATCATCATCATCATCATCATCATCATCATCATGGTCATGATGATCGTCATCAACAAAAACCGAATTGTCATCCGATACATCATCATCATCGTCGTCATCATCCGCATCATCATCATCACCTTCATCAAAAAAATCATCATCATCATCATCTTTATCAGCATCATCATCGTCATCATCATCAGTATCATCATCATTTTCATCAGCATCATCATCATCTTCATCATCATCATCATCAACATCGTCATCATCACCATCATCATCATCATCATCGTCGTCAACATCGTCAACGTCATCATCATCATGCGAATCATCCTCATCCTAATCTTCATCCAAATAATCATTCGAATGATCCTCATCATCCGAATAGTCATCATCATTCGAATCATCATCATCATCGTCGTCATGATCATTATAATGATCAGGATCATCCTCGTCATCATCATTTTCATCATCGTCATCTTCATCACCATCTTCATGCGAATGATCATCCGAATGATCATCATCATTCGAAAGATCATCATCATCCGAATCATCATCATCATCATCATCATTATCGTAATCATCGTCATCATCATCATCATCATCATCCGAATCATCACCATCATCATCATCATCTTCATTATCATCATAATCATCATCATCATCCGAATCATGATCACCCTCACCAACATCGTCATCATTATCAACATCACCGTCATCATTATCAGCATCGTCATCATCAACATCATCATCATCATCATCGTCCTCATCATCATCAACCGAATCTTCATTAACATCATCATCATCATGATCATGATCATCATCAACATCATCATCACCCTTATCGTCATCATCTTCGTCATCATCATCTGCATTATTCGAATCATCATCAACATCGTCATAATCATAATCGTCATCATCATCATCATCATCATCATCTTCATCATCATCCGAATCATCCTCATCATCATCATCGTCAGCCGAATCATCATCATCATCATCATCATCATCCGAATCAACATCGCCATCATCATCTTCCGATTAATCATCATCCGAGTCATCATCCTCATCATCATCAAGCGAATCATTATCATCATCAAAATCGACATCATCATCATCAACATCATCTTCATCATCATCATCATCATCATCAAGATCATCAACATCAGCATCAACAGCATCAGCGTCATCATCATCATTATTAGGTTGATGATCATCGTCATCCGAATGACCGTCATCATCCTAGTCAACATCCTCTTCATGATCGTCATTATCATCATCATCTTCATCATCATCCGAATCACCATCATCATCATCATCATCATCATCATCATCATCATCATCATCATCATCATCATCATCATCATCATCATCACCATCATCATCATCGTCAACATTCTGATCAACATCAACGTCAACACCAACATCAACAAAATCCGCATCATCACCATCATCAGCATCATCATTATCGTCATTTTTCGATTCATCATCATCATCATCATCATCATCATCATCACCGTCATCATCTTCATCATCATCATCATCATCTTCATCATCATCATCATCATCATCGTCATCATCATGATCATCATCATAATCATCAACATT